CTCAACTCTAAGCCAAGTTTTTGGCTCCCATTCTTCTCCACTCTGTTCTTTCTTTGATGGTGAATTTTAACCTTTATCTGAAGGGAATGATTTAAAAAGAAAGACAGGGATGGAAGGGATGGGAAAACCTTCACAATTATGAGGTCCCTGGGGTCCTGACTGAGATTAGCCGAACAGCTGGGACCAAGGAAGACTGAGAGAAACAGCATGTAGGAAGAAGATACAAAGTCAAGGTCAAGAGGAAAACCTTGGTGTCTATAAAACACCTTACTGTTTGTGTTGAAATATTCATTAGTGCCAAGACATTTGTTAAGTAGGTCAGTAATGTGTACGGGGCACTTGTTATATCCTAGGAACCCTGTTAAGTATTTTACAAACATTATTTCATTTAGTAGAATGACCCGGTTAGATAGGTACTATTATTAATTTCTTTTTACAGATAAAGAAACTGAAATTTAAGAAGATTGGATACTTTGTCCCAACTCCCAAGGCCAGTGAGAACAAGGATTTGAAACCAGATTTCTGGGCTCCAAGGGTCCTGGTGATTATGTAAAACATTACATTTCTTCCCAAATATCAGTAGCCACCATTATCTGCTGAATGATTACCATGTGAGGCTATATGAGAATAGTTTAATAATTAACCTATGACCATACCACTAGCTCATGGTAGAGTCAGAATTTAGCAACTATTTGACTCTAAATGTCAAGATCTTTCTAGTGTAATTGTACTTTGAAAGGTAAGTCATTTAAAATGTTTCTATGTGGCTGATTTATAACTAATTGATATTAACTCCCCAGATGTCATCAAAATGTAGGCAAGCTGTTTGTTATTAGGAAAAATATTCAAATAAGAAAAGTAGGAAATTAAATGACAAAGGGTAATATTGTAATAATACACACAAAGACCAGACACTAATATCCTCAAGGGAACATTACAACTTTTCCTCACAAATGTTCTAGGCAGAAGGCACATATTTTCAACCTGTGGAGTCTCATCTGGTTTATTATGGATGATGGTAATTAATAATCATATATTGAAATGAAGTATTTATTCTTTAAAACCGTCAACCCCCTTTTGGCTGGTTCTTGTCAACTCAGTAAGGCTCTGAGTTTGGTATGTCCCCTAGGTTCCCTCCCAGGCCAAGACAGTACTAACAAGCTTGACTGAGTATCAGGTGGGCTTGAAACTCGTATCCCCATTATTAAGGGATATTATAATAAAAGGAAACTGCAATAACCTAATGTAATACATGATCCTTGACTAGTTTTTGGATAATGAGAAAAAATGTCATAAAGGACATTGGTGGGACAATTAGAACAAATTATAAATGGATCATGTATTAGATAATAGTATTTTGTCAATGTTAAATTTCCTGAATTGGATAATTATGCTGTAGTTTTGTGAAAAAGTGACCTTATTCCTAGAAAATCATACTGAAGTGTTTTGGGGTAAAATGACAGTATGTCTGGAAACTTATTTTTATATTTATTTTTAAAATGTATCTATATATAGAATGGGACTGATAAAGTCAAGAAAGGAAAATATTTTTAAACTATTGAATAAAGGATATATGGGAGTTCTGTGAATTGTTTGACAGCTCCTCTAAAAGTTTGCAATTATTTATTATATAAAATTAAAAGAAAATAAGTTGCCAGCCTAAATTAGTTTTGTGTTTTCATATTTAGTGTATTTTTCTAGGCTTGATGAATCTTTAAAGAAGTAACTTGACAAAAAGCAAACAAAAATTCCCAAAACTCTAGTGAAATCACTTCGAGGTAGCACCAAGGTAGGCTACAACATTTTTATAAAACTCAGAGATATCCATTTTTTTAGAACTAAATTTTTGTGAAAGTATTCAGCACATGGCATTAAAGTAAATGTTCAAAAAGCATTGCTAGGCCAGGCGCGGTGGTTCACGCCTGTAATCCTCGCACTCTGGGAGGCCGAGGCAGGCGGATGGCTCAAGGTCAGGAGTTCGAAACCAGCCTGAGCAAGAGGGAGACCCCGTCTCTACTAAAAATAGAAAGAAATTAATTGGTCAACTAACATATATAGAAAAAATTAGGCAGGCATTGTGGCACATGCCTGTAGTCCCAGGTACTCGGGAGGCTGAGGCAGAAGGATTGCTTGAGCCCAGGAATTTGAGGTTGCTGACGCCATGGCACTTTAGCCAGGGCAACAGAGTGAGATTCTGTCTCAAAAAAATATCATTGCTATACCTTTGGCACAGATATTTCATGAGGTGATAAAGTTGACTTTCTAGTGAATTGGGAGTTATCCTACATGTTTATGCCTGTGACTATTTTTCTCTGGGATAAACCCACCATCCAGAGTCTAAGGACCATTTAAGAGACATGATCTAGATTTGTCTTAAGCCCCCACAGAGAATTTTGTGGCCTTGTGTTCAGAGACATGCCATCCCTATTCTTGCACAGAATGTCAGAGTGACAAATGGGCTGTTCTTCATTTTTTGTCTTGACTCAGGATATTATGTTCTGGGATGCCACAGTCCTTGTGCGTTACAACAGAAAGTTTTCACACTGTCCTGGCAGTCACTGAATTTTGGTATATAGAAAATGTAGCTATCATCTCCAATTCTCTTTCCTACATATCTTTTCACCATCAGAATAGGAAGGCTCAAACGCATCTTCAGGGAACATAAAAAAAAAATCCCAGAGTAAACTAGCAAATGAAACTCAACGGGGAATTTGTGTTTTATGTAAAAATATAACTGGTTATTTAGCATACTCTGAGAAAGCCACCTGAACATAGGCGTTAAGTTGATGTTACGCATGTGCAATTGCACTTCAAATGTCCAAGTGAAATTAGATACTAAAAAGTTACATGCATCACTAAGGGAAGAGGCCTTTTGAGTTCATCACTCCCTTCCAAATTATGTGAAGAAATGGCTAAAATTCCCTACCTTGGGTTGCCTCTATTTTGAGTTGGTTACATGAATGTGAGAAAAATATCCCCTCCCCCCATTTCTTCTTGTCTTTCAAAATAAAGCCTGAAATATGTATTCTAATAAAAGAACCAAAAAAGGAAAAACAACCAAAAAACCCCATTGACTAGACATTTGAAAATGCGTATCTGAAATCTGACATTGTCTCTGCCTGAACAGTGAATTCCAACTTCTGTCACATAATTTGGCTCTTCTGGAGCTCAAAACATTGTTTGCTATGTGGACATGAGAACAGTTAGATATTTATAACTGCAAAAGTGAATTCTTCATGATAAAATTCCTGACCTGTATTTCCTATAGCACATGGACCAATTAATATGATACGCTTTAACTTTTCAAAGGTTTAAGAATTATTGCCAGTGTGGCCTTAATACAAATAATGGAACACAAATAATGTCTAGAGGCTCAAGACGAGCCAATATAAAACAGATATTTTCTGTTTAATCCTGTAATGTCTTATTTATACAATGAAGATTTAATTTTCAAATATTTAAACTTGCTTCTGGCTTTTGTCTTGTTCTGTGCTCAGCCCTCTTTGTTGTACATTTAAAAAATGTTCTGGTGGGATGCCATTACAGTATTAACTTGTCTAGCTATTAATTTATTTGCACATGGTTTTAAACACGTCTTTTAAAAATGTAGGCACTGTCTTGTTTTAGGAAAACACAATCCTCCTCTGTATTTGGATATTTTCCCATTTCAACATCCAAAAACCTTTCAGTTCTCCCCCAAGACTTTGGTTCCTACAGTTTTCAAATGATAATTATGTCCCACATTTTACAAAGGAGTTCAAATTGAAAATCTTATAGGCCCACACAAGTTTCAGAAACTCTTAAAATTGGAGTTGAAATTATTATAAGTCTAAGAAGCTAATGAGTTTCATTTATTCTTACATCATTAAACTTGACTGTGGTAGCTAGTAGCATGACTAAACAGTGCCACTGAGGTATTTGTTAATGTAATGATAAACAATTATTTATATAAGATTTGAATTTGAAAAAAAATGTTTTCCTAAGTTGCCGAACTAAGAACAGTTTAGAATACGTACAGTAACATGCAGATAGTCACTTGATTTTTACTTGGGCCTAAAGCAGTTCCTACGTGGTAGGTAGCGCAACAGAAGAATGAGAACACAAACAGCCACTCTTTGCACCGAGGGCAGCAGTGTATAATCATGGTGTAGCTTTACACAGAGCCCATTTTTTCCAGCTGCTCCCTTTTGATCCCAGATTTCTCCTTAGAACACTAAGTGTTCCCTCATTGCAGGAAATAGTATCTTCCAACATGGATTTCTCAATGATAATCAGTGTTAAATGAGAGTAGGGGAAGGCAAGATCTCTGCTAAAATAAATTTGAAAAAAAAATGTATTATTATAGAACAAAACTAATAAACAGGTTGCAGGATTTCTCAGAACCTGGTCCTAGAATATACTGGCAATGTGCAATTTGAAACTTCGAGAGGAAAACATATTGTATAGAATTTTCCAAGTTAGTTTCAATGGAACATGCCCTGAGAGATTATGTTGTAGAAGCTCTTTCCATCTTAGTGACTGCAAATCTTCTCATCATTAAGGTTCACATACAGTTAAATTTTCTTCATGAGGCCATTCCCAATTCTTTCAGACTTCATCACTACACCTTTGTCACATTATTGCACTCTTATGGCTTCCAGAATCCTCACCTCTACTTTATGCCTCCTCTTTTATTTTTATTTATTGTCTTTTTTCACCTTCAAATTAAAGTACCTTTAGATGAGGGACCATTTTTCCACAACACCTAAGCTAGTGCCCAGCTAGGAACTCAATAAATGCTTACCGAAGGACTGATGCCATCTATCTCAAATATGCACTATTGATATCAAGAATTCCTCAGGAAAGTAAAATGTTTCTTTACCTATTTGAGAATGGGTGGATTAGAATTTTATTTTAAATTCATCTTTATGCTCAATTTAACAACATTGTTTTTGAGTGACAAGGAGAGCAAATTACCATAACCAAAACTTCTACTTAAAAAAATTTCAGACTTAACAAGAGTCATGCAAGGTTGCTTTTATTAAGCTTCATATTCAGCTTACAGCTAAGTATTTCAGGCATTACTTCATTTGACAAGCACACATAGATCTAGGAAACATTTCAAGACACCCCAAGGACTTCATAACTACTGGGAACAGAGCAACTTACTCTGCAGTTAACATGTATGTTAAGTACTTCAAGGAGTCATTAAGGGAAAGAAGCTAAATGACAACTGGTCCTCTTCTATGAAATGATTATCCTGGACAGGTAGCTACAAAGAAAAGCACAGGACTATAACAGAGTTTCAAAGATTTTACATCCAAATCCATCTTTTTTATTTAGGATAGGACTTGGGGTCACATATCAGAAGGCAAATGACTCAGAATAAGCTACATGTCAAGTTTTCTATAGATAATATTAACACTCATTTAATTAGCTTACGTTTTAAGCAAATCACAAAAAGAACAATTTTGTGTTGAAAAACCCACTCTGCTAGTGACTATAGGAGATGCTTAGCCATTGAAGAATTTCTCTCCACTCTTGTAGTTTCTTTATGAGTTCTTCTGAGAGATTTTCATGGTGACTGTCTTGACCTCTGTATATTCATGGAGACCATATTCTCCCCTACAGAGAGAGGAAAAACACCCACAAACATCATTTAGCATAGAGCGCAAATGTACTATAGTCCATGATTTGTACAAGTTTGTTCTTGCTTATCTGGCCAGGAACAATGGAAAATATTTTCTGTGTCCAAAGCGTTTTATATAGTAGCTAGCCAAACAAAACTGTTTGTTCTCACATAAATCCCCTTGTGGGGAAAATGTTTAAAAATTTTCTTTCATTTTGAATAATCATGTACTCTAAAGTTGATTTTCTCAGAAATTGTCCATTTTTGACATTATTCTACTTGATTTTAAAAGCTCTAACTACTCGAAACATAATATAATGCAACAAGAATTTTGTCATTTCTATTTTAGCTTCATCTTAGATATAATAAAAGAGGAGAGGTAGTGATATATATAATCACCAAAAAGTAAGTAGTACAACAAAACTGTAAACTAAAGTAGAGCTGCATTTCCCAAGTACACAGAATTGGCACAGAAGTGATAAGGGAGTAAAATTTTCATTTTAAGGGGCCCTAATATGGCTTGAAACAAAATATTTTACAGCTATAGTTTTAGCAATATCTTTTGATGCTTGATAAAACAAAACCTGACCTTTATCGTTAACGTTTTCTGGTTTATTTTTCTTTTCTTTCTTTCTTTCTTTCTTTCTTTCTTTCTTTCTTTCTTTCTTTCTTTCTTTCTTTCTTTCTTTCTTTCTTTCTTTCTTTCTTTCTTTCTTTCTTTCTTTTCTTTTCTTTTGATTGTTTTCTTTTTAGGAGGAGGACAAGGTTAGATTGGCCTAAATTCAGGCTCTTGGGCTTTTTGCAGTTGTTGGTTTCCCCCGTTTATATAACCTCCTCTGTCCCCTATCATTTGCTTATATAACTCTCAAGTCCAACCCAAAAGATCAGGAATTAACACAAATCAATCCATTTGGACCCTGCTATCTTGTTATTAGATTTACGGGGACCTCCTGCCAGTTTTAGAAGCTGACTGTGATTTACCCTTCGTTGAAGAGGTAACTAAAGGAACGGGGCTCAGTTATACTCTGTATTGTTCTGACAAGAGGATCAAATGACATGTATATAAAAATATTCTTAAAATGACAACATTCATGCACATGTAGGCTTACAGAAAAATAAGATCTTGATCCTTTTCTATCCCTCCCTTCTTGTGACATAGACAGATATGTAGGAGACATCATTTTCTCCTGGGTAACCTAATAGTCTTACACTGATTATTTTCGTGGGCAATTAAGCTTCTGAAAATACCTGTTAAAAGCTTCAATGAGCATGTTATTCAAAGTAATTGAAGGGCTTGGCCTCAGTTGTCTGAAACCCATTAAAAGATAGTATTTTATCTCCCAGCATTAGATAAATCAACCCATGATATTAGCCAATAGGCTTTCCATTGTATTTTGGGTCACATGGCACCTGAAGCTCTCAAGAAAGTAGTAAGTGTGATTAATGTTCTGCTCAGGCTGGGACAGGCCCTGCTCCTTAGGATTCTTATACCTCTGCTATATCTATGATGTAACACAAAGATGTCTCTTTTTCTTACTAAGTCTGTGAGTCACTAGCTCTGCACTTCTATAATAAAACCTTCGATGTACAAATCATCTAGGACATTATTCGAAGACTGATTCTGACTCAGTATGTCTGGAGTAAGGCCTGACACTGCATTTCTAGTAAATTTCCAGTGACACCCAAGCTTCTCATCCAGGGCCCACACTGCAACAAAAAGGTACTAGTGACAAGTTACACCTGTTTTTCCCTCTGTGCCCAGGACTGAGACTGTCACTAACAAAGCAGGCACAGAAGAAATATTTGCTGAACTGACTAGGCAATTATCTAGCAAAAAATATTCATTTGAGTTCTTACTCTACGCCCAGTAGTTTACAACATGTCCTTGTTTCTTTCCAATGGAGGGGAGCAAAGAAATATCTTGCGAGGGTTGAGACCCAATTAAGTTTAAACTGGCATGCTAGCAACATCTCAAGGGACCTATATTAACCTAAGTGAGAATGATGCAATTACATAAAGGGGGAATTTCTGCCATTTAACCCATTCAGTGCCAACCCACTATCAGAGATGCAAAATCAAAGCTCGCGCATTCTGTGTCATCATCAAACTCACTGGGGTCTGCAGACCACCATTTCTGGCTCTTTGAGGATTTTGTTCCCGCTTGATCAATTCTGTCTTTCTACCTTGGAGGACAAATTATAATTTAACTCTTGGGGGTCATTTGAGTAATATCACTTGAGTAATTCTCTTGAAATACCTTGTAGCAAATGACTCATTTCTTAAGTTCACCAAATTTGGACTTGAACAATAGCATTCTCAGCTGGAATTTTTGAAGTAAAAAAATAATATAGCATAACTTTCTCCTTTGTATTTTAAAGAAGAAAATTACATCTATCTGTGTTCCAGATACTTAGGAAATTATTGACGATGAGTTCCTGTTTTCAATCCTTCTCTTATTTGATTCCCCTTTGTCTCAACCTTAATGTCTGCATTCAACAGAATTTACGAATTTGATCTACATAAGTTTTTTCATCCCTTTTGATTATCTTCACTGTTCCGAGGAAAATGTGTTAGGTAGGTGGGCCAGCAACGAACTAACTGACCTTTAGAGTAATTTATCCTTTGTTCCAGCTTTTTGTACAAAGTAATTAGTTCTGCCAAGGGATTCTCCAGTTATTGATATTATAAAGAGAAGAAACTAGGGGAGGAAGAAACTCTTTGTTGAGTTTCCAATTTGTGACAGTTACAAGGCTAGGGATTGGACATTCATTGTGTTATAAAGATCTTAAGAGGAAAGTTAGCATCTCCATTTGCAATATGAGGAATGGAGGCTCAGAAGTTAGACAACTTGAAGTGGGCAGCATGGCTACCAAGTGGTGTCAGGATTTAAATACATGGTCAGATGCAAATTACATCTTCTCAGATATGCCTTGTACTTTTAATGGGTTGATCTTTTGCTGCTATCTCCTCAAAACATTCTAAACATATTCAGGGCTCTTCACTATTCTGCAAGTAAAATCTCAGACAATTTTCTTGGCTTCAGGACTTCTTAATCTGCACCCACAACCCTTGACTTTGTGTGACAGAGGAAAATAATGACAATTAGAGAGCTGTCCTCCTAAATGCTAAAGTTTGGTGGTGTCCAGATTTCTTATCCTTCAATACTTTGCTCTGTACTTTAACTGCTTCTCTGCCCCCATGAGGTATGAAGTCTCGATTTAGTGTGTGTGGGTTATTTTGCATATATTTTTACATATTCCTCCTGCCACCACAGCTATGTAGAGTATGGAGCATAGTGCCATGTCCCTAGGGCCTTATCTGTAGTAAGTACTAATGAAAGCATGTTGAGAATGTTGACAGATCATTCTGTCATTCCTCCATTTCACTCCCTGCCCCAAAATATTGTCTAATTGCAATTTTGCTGATTTATTAAGACAAGTGACAAAGTGCATGACTACCTCATGTATGACTCTTAGAAACTTAGAAAGACTTACTTTTACTTGCTATTTACCAAATGTGCAGGTTTACTATGTTTGATACCACAAGGATTGTATATGATTTATCTTTTTTCTTCATGGTATTTTAAATTTATTGATAAATGCAAGAAAATTTAAAGAAATAAAATGGTTGAAATTTTTGCTGCTACTTTCTGTGTTTACACATGTATGTGAATATTATTATAAAAAGTCTCCCAGTTTCAAAACCAACTGAAGGCTCATAAATGCATTTACATATAAATATTCTCAATCTATTCACTACTATAAAACATGTTTTTCTTAGTCCAATTTCCCTCAGGTTTATATTTTAGTTCCAAAAATAACTTATTCAGGTAATTTAAAATTTTAGAGTCTACATCAATAATATTTCAATAAATGAGAATCATTCCTCTTACACTGATGTTTTCCAAGATAAGGTACCTGATTTATCTATTTAGAGGCATATTTAAATAACTGTAGTGTTCTTATATTTGCACATTTACTACAATCACCACTTTATGCTTTCCCCCTCCTTTCTGGAGATGTTTCACACATGGATTTCATTCATATATGCAGCAAACAATTCTAAAATTAAGCAATATTTCAATCATACTGTAAAGTGCTTAATACAGACCCTTATGAATAGCAGGAGCTTAATAAATTATATTTCCCTTCTGCCAGCACCTTTCTGCACTTATGGGGTACAGCCAACATTTAATAAGCTATTGGGCGGTATAAATTCTCCAGGAAAGAATAAAAGTAGGTTTTACTTAAGGTGGCGACTGTGAATTAATTCCCTAGGAGTAAAAGCCATTTTTATGAAATAAGTATATCAATAAAAAGTTCTTACAGTTCTCGTCCATTTCCAGACATCTTAAAGCCACCAAAGGGGCACTGGGCAGACACCATGCTATAGCAATTCACCCTGAAAAGAAGTTATTACGGATGTTACTTAACATATGAAATAACTTTTATTCGGCAATTTTAGAAATTCAGAAAGCTTCTTAAGAACTCAATTTCAATAAAACATACTTATTGCAACAAAAAAGTAACACTATAAATTAGAATGTGGACATATATGGATATATACCACCTAGAAACAAAGAAAATGGTACAAATATGTATGTATGCATATGTGGATAGCCATTTTGGCAGTGTATCATGTCCCTGAGAAGACTTAGTTAGAATTATAGAATAGCTAATATACCATATGAGGAAGGATATGGTTTGCTGAAGACTGGAATTTGTTGGATGAGTGTTCCCTACTGTCTATATTCAATAAGCTCTGCAGTTCTCTTGAGGTTTGTGTACTTAATAGGCTAGATTCAATTTTCTTTTGCAATTGCAATATGTATCATATTACTCAGTTCATTGTTTCCCCATTAATTGGTTCAATAAATTACTTAAACAGAGGCCTTGGCAGGAGTTGCACTTAATTATAAATCTGTTTATTCCCTGTCATATTTCATAAAGTATTTAAATATGCTTATATAAATAAATGTAATTACAAAAATGTGAATAATTAGAATTCTAGAAGTAATTATGATAAAATATCATGATGGGGGAAAATTAGAATGCAGTTATGTAGGCCATGAACAATTTGTTTAGCTTTAAATTTCTTGGTGGCCAAAGTTAAGAGCAAAATCTAATTACCTACATGATTCTCATCACGCACAAAAGAAAAAACAATATTTTTTAAAGGAGAAAAACAATGTTCTTTTTAAGTATTTTTCTTTCCCTTATGCTGTTATAATAGGTGAACAACAGTGTGGCTTTCAGACAAATTGTATTATATTTGGAAGAGTTTAGTCATTACTTTGATTTTAAGATTAAATGTTTTCTCAGTTAAAACATTTACTATCTCAATTCTCAGCATTTCACATTCTCACGTGACCACAGAGTTATTGCCCATGTCCCCCATCCTGGAGTAATAGTTTCTTTAATAAATTTATACTTTTAAAAGGCAGCTTGTCTCAGCTTTGCTTATACTCATTTAAATTGCAAAACCACACACCTGCTTTGAAATTGTGAATAAAATCCCAGCAACTCTGGAATTCAATAATTGTCCCCAAAATACCAAGCAGCTGTTAGGATGGGACAATGCTACAGTATTATTATGCTCTGGGATATATAGCAATAAAAATATGGTTCCCTCTGTTTTAATTGTAGAGATATTCCTGACTGGGAATTCCTAAGACGCCCAGTGAAATGTTATAACAAGCTTCTTTATCAATTAGGCATGTAACATTCTATTTTCCAAAATAAAAAATCTGAAACTTGTCTTTGTTAAAAAATGCAGAAGTTTTCTGTTTTGACTCTACATTGGTAATGAAACTATTTTAAGTATAAATTAATGGAGGACTGAAACATATCCACTTAGTGAAAACTGTAGGTTCACTACATCTTTGATCCTCTCTAAGCATGTGTTCCTCAAGTGTACAGTGCAGATGCTTCTATTTAATAGGGTTGTTTCAGGGCACACAGAAAATGAGGTGTAGAATGTGTACATAGTGTAGAATGATACACAGGTGTAGTGCATAGTACATAGTGTAGAATGTGCACATAGGTGTAGAATGGTACATAGTATGTCTGTAGTAAATGGAGATAATATATGTACAATAGTAATGCTGAATTTTATTAATATTTTTATCAGTCATAGGCAAATTCTATATTGATCACTAAGCCATATTGAGTATTTATGAGGAATTTCCTCAATTTTATTTAAAAGTGTTGGAAAGAAAACATCTCATTACAGAATCAGGCTTATAAGCATAGTCCTTAGTTCTAGTTGCAAATTAGAATCACTTTGAAAAATACCCTTTAAATAAAAGATCTATGCCCAGACTCAATAAGTGAGATTGTTTTAGTCTGTTTTCTGTCGCTATAACTGCATAGTATAGGCTGGGTGATTTATAAACAACAGAAGTACATTTTTCTCGTGGTTCTAGAGGTTGGGAATTCCAAGAGGATGGCCCTGGCTTCCTGCAAGTGCCTTCATGCTATGACATCCCATAATGGAAAAACAAAAAAGTACATGCAAGAGAGCAAAGTAAAAGTGGCTGTACTCACTTTTATAACAACCCTCTCTCCCTATAACTACCCTGCTTCCTTGATAATGGCATTAATTTGCCTTTATCACCTAAACTCCCCATTAGGTCTCACTTCTTAATATTGTTACAAATGGCAAGCAAATTTCAACAAGAATTTCAGAGGAGACATTCAAACCATAGCATTGACATAATTGGTGTAATGATACATATTCTACTCTACTTCAAATCAGTTTATATATTTTGGAAGACCCCAGATGATTCTAACAAAGAGTTGAGAAACACAGCTTTAGAGTCTGAAATAAGTGACTCTCAGCTTCTGTTATTTATTGTCTGATCTTGATAAATTACTTAACCTCACTAAGCTTCAGTTTTTTCATTGATAAATTTGAGATAACAATGAAATAGTGGCGAAGTAAAAGGGGATAATGAATGTAAGAATGCAGTGCAGTGCCTAGTATAGAGTAAACATTTACTAAATGATGACTCTCCTTTTGGCTAGGAGAAAAGATTCTAGAGTGCTCAAGAGGAGTGAAGATTTTCTCTTACAGATAAATACTTTTTAATGTCTTCTTTTTTTTTTTTTTACTGGAATATGTGTGACTTAGTAGCGGGAAGTAAAATAATCTTGGGGTGTGTCAGAGCTGAGAGGACAAAATGAGGTTGGAGGGGGAAAAATGACCAAGAAATGACCAGGGACTGGGAGCTGGGCAGGGAATGCAACAGTCTGAGAGAAGCAGCCATTAGCATTTATAACCTCTAAATTAATATAAAAACATCAGAGATATAAACTAGATCAAAAACGAGAGTGACAGGCTCCTCAAAGCTCAGTGAGTCCTTCTAAATTAAGAACTTCAAGACATGCCAAATAATCCCAGAGTAAGAAGGTGAAAATTAAATGTTCACATGTATTAGGGTACCAAATAAATATATTTTTATCTAATTAAACTTGACTAAAACAGAACTTTTATGTCCTTTGTATTATAGCGTAGTGCCAAGTGTCTAGAAATCACTTAGCAATATTATATTGTATTAATCAAACCTCAATAAAACATTTTGAGTAAACAATTTCAGACTGGAAGGAGTTAAAAGAAAATACCGTTCCATGTGAGTTCTCAAAATATAGCAGGATTTTTGTTTGTTTTGTTTTTTAAGGCAGCAACTGCTTTTCTAGTAAACCATGTATGTCCAAATGAAAAATCCAAATCTAAAAAGGTGTAAGGTAATCTGTTAATGTGGTTAACACTGAAAAAGCTGCATCACTAAGGCTTGACTTACCACACTGTCCCGGCCTGCAGAGCAGAGGACACTGTGATGGCTTTATCCAGGTCTTTGGTAAAGATTCCTGCTGCTAACCCATAGTGAGTAGTGTTTGCTCTCTTGATCACGTCATCTAAAGATTTAAACTTCATGATTTGCTGCACTGGTCCAAATATCTATACCACAAGAAATGGATTAAATAAATCAAAATGATAGATTAAAACTAAATATTTCACATGATACTGCAATTTTTTTTTTTACAAGCTATCCTAAATTTATTAAGATTTTGTTTGATTCTATTCTCAAACCTGTATGCAAGAATCCAGACAGGTAGCTGCAGAAATGGTAGGTGAGAGTAGGGAACAGTCATGTGTTAAGTTCTCTTTGGAACAAGTTAGGGCACAAATAATTAAGGCAATGTTCATTTTCTAGATGTTGGACTGAAGCTTCCAAGAACTTATAATTATGCATCAAATCGTTAATTTCAGAACTTCGTTTTCATTTAGGGCCATTTAAAATTTTATCCCTAATTTTCTTCATCTTCCAAGTTACTACATATAACAATAAGCTCCAGAAAGCAACGTTTGCTCTTCTAGATAAATGAATAGGCAATGATTGATAATAGCAATTGTTTTATAAATGCTAGTATACCATTGGTTGAAATATTAACTATTTTACTATATTTAGATATTTTCATAATTAGTCAAGCTTGGTAAAACACCATGAATTTTTATTCAGATTCTGCTCTGTAGCCAAATCTTATGCAACTTACACATACTAAACAGAATCATTCATTACCGCAAGAGCTTAAATCTTAAACCATCCTGTATCCATCAAAGCTTGAGTTAATTGGCAATGGCTATAGTTGCTGGAAAAAACTAAAAAATCACAATTTGCATATTTTAGCCTAAACTACTCTCACTTTTGCTACACTTTCCATGTAATGCAGCCCAAACTCAAGTCATTCTGTATTTTAGCCCCAGGTGGCAGAAAGATGACCGGATTTTCTCTTAAAAATTAATCTCCTACATTATATTTCAATAAGACATTTATTAAAATTAAAGTGGGCATTTCACTGAGTGTTACCAGAATTTTCTGGGAAACATGAATGAGAGGAGGCAAAAATTATAAGTGACAAATGGTTTTCTGGTGTTCACCACTACTTTAAATGTTAGAGGGGCCTGGGTTACCAGTCAATAGAGAGTGAGTACATATTTCCTATGGTTGTAAATCTAATCATGAGATTGTAACCTAGGAACCAGGGATATAGCAGCTGCTGCAATAGATGTGTTCATATTTTACATAATTTTAATTGAACATAGCACATGGCTCCAGGCTCCCACTTTGAAGTAGCAAGCTAGCTGTTCTACTATGAATATTATAGGGACACAATAAATGTTTCCTTGACTGAAGATCTTTTTCCTAGTCCTTTCTATCTGGTATTAATCAAGACATGTAAGAACAACAGATCTAAGTTTTCTTCCTGATTTTGTATATTGTAGTTAAATATTTGGTGAGCATGTATACATTTATATAAATGTGTATATATACACATATATGTGTGTATTCATTTATTTATACATTATATATATACACATACATATACAGTCACCAAATATTTAACTACAATGTACAAAATTAGGAAGTCTAACAGCTAAAAAATATAGGGCTAACAGCACACAGATGATGGGAAGTGATATTGGGATGAATGCTATTTTCAAATATATAGATGGCTGTTATGTAGAAAAAGTTCATAAGGGAAATATGAAACCAGCAGGTAGAATATAAGTACTTTTTTTATGATAAGAACACTTAACATCTACTATCTCTATAATTTTGAAGTATACAATATGTTGTTAATGATAGTCACCATATTATAATAGATCTCTTGAACTTATTCCTTCTACCTAACTAAACTTTTGTATTCTTGACCAAAATCTCCCACCCTCACACCCAACTCCCCCAAGCCCCTGGTGACCACCCCTCCACTCTCTGCTTCTACAGATTTCACCTTTTTAGGTTCCACGTATAAGTGAGATCATGCTTTATTTGTCTTTCTGTGCCTGGTATGTGTCACTTAGCACAGTGTCCTCCAGGTTCATTTATGTTGTCACAAATGACAGGATTTTTCCCCTTTACTCTAAAACTATGAAGGAAGCATCTAGAAATTGCTCAGCATCCTGATCTGTTTGGCTGAAAATTTTTGGCTGGCCCAATGGAATCCTTACTACTTTTAGTCCTGATCATAAACAAACCTTTGTGAGAAATCAAAAGCAACAGTTATTTTGAAAGATCTTCAAAGAGGTGAGAATCTTAAAGGGACACTCTGTATACACGTATGCAGTCAAAGCAAGGCAACACCAGGACAGAATGAACCCATTTACCTCCTCTTTGGCGATGCGCATGTCGTCTGTAACATTAGAGAAAACCGTGGGCTGGATAAAGTAGCCTTTGTTCCCCCATGGGCCTCCACCACATTCCAGTTTGGCCCCTTCTTTCTTCCCACTCTCAATGAGATCAAGTATTTTGTCATGTTGTTCCTTGTCAATCTGTTTGAAAAATAGCACATGAAAAAAAAAAAAAAAAAAAAAAAAAAAAAAAAAAAAAAGACTGTAAAGATAACACATTGCTGGGCCTGTTAATGGGAGTTTCAAAATGCTAAGATGTTATTAAATCAAACATTGAATCAAAACAGCTAACAGAGACTCAGATTCATTCTTTGGGTAGATTGTGTTCTCATGATGTTTCATAGAAGAACCCTTGAAGATAAATATTTGTATTACAGTTATGTAAGAAAAACATGTCAGCACTGCAAACATTTCACACAATTGTCACTTATTCGCTCTGGAAGAAATGCCTGTTGATAATCTAACACATTTACCCGGAAACTACAGTCCTACCTGAAGTAAAACAAGTGAATGGAGAAAAAGAGAACTTTGATACTGGATTTTACTAGATATGGCAGTTGGAAAGCAGATGCTTCTAGATTTGTCTTAGGGACTCCTGTGCCTATGTTTGGATCTCCCCATTCCTGAACCATCTCCTCTGGGCTGCTCCATGCCCTTGCATATCACATTCTGACTGCAGTTCAGGCATCCCCCAATTCAAGTTTAATTCCAATGCCTGTCCTCTCCTGATTGTGACCATCGTGCTTCAGTAAATGGGCCACATCTAAATATATGACAAGTATTACAAAACTTAAATGGTCTTTTAAACAATATATATATTTTTTAATAGATAAATGAGATAACCTTTTATTTATTTATTTATTTTTTAATTTTGGCATATTATGGGGGTACAGATTTTAAGGTTTCAATAAACAATATTTTTATAAGAAAAAAAAAATGAGTTCAGAGTTCTGGTTGTGAACACCAGAAACACATACATCTTCCCCATGCACTGGCATTGGGAGGTTATATATTGTTTCAATTCCTGCTTTGGGAGGTTGAATGATTGTGTAACTCTCAGTCTCCAAATCACTGGTAAAACTGCCCGTCTCAGGCATGGAGGGGGTTAAGAATTAAAGGCAAAACAGGAGATCCAGGAGTTAAGGTGGGGGTAGAATTTCTTCCCAGTTTAACTTGTCTCTTCTCATTACTTAGAAAGTGTTCTTTATTCTCTTCTTTGGCTCTGCAAATCTTCCAGGCCCCAGCTCTCATATTTAACTATTCATAGATTAAGTGCTAGTTGAAACCAAAAACTATCTTCGAAAACTTGGCACATTTGATACAATGTTGTTCAATGCTCTTTAGTGCACCATATTTAATATAATATTTCAAAAAGAAAACCTTCCTTCATTTCTCACCGATTAAGGAAGTCGTAGTGTGGGTTTAAGAAGAAGAGACATTTAAATTGAATACAATCAGACTAAGCGGGTAGTGCTGGACAGGCTCTCCTTGGTTAAGATATTCTAGTGTTTCAGTAAATAGTCAAGGATCCATGTTCCTCCATGTAAAGCTGCTCTGTCTTATTCCGAGATATTAATCTGACTGTGTCCTCAACATGATTTTTTGCTTTTTATTTCAAGATGTGTTTCCCAAGTCATAATGTTTCCCTGTCTGTGAGCAGACTGGATACCTGGTGACAATCCAAATCCTGCATATGTACTAGAGAAAGAGGCTGAAGGGATTTGTTTGTTGGAAAACTTAGCTGATCACTAACTTCCAAAACTACAGGACTTCATATTTCAGTGCTTGCTACTGATAATGTGGTCCTACAGCCAGCAGCTCTGATCACGTGGTAGCAAAATGTGCTTCTCGGACCCCACCCCACACCTACTGAATCCTTGGATGATCCAGATGCACAGGAAAGACTGAGAACACTGTGCTGGAGCTTGGGGTTAGTGACAAAACATTCCAGCTATACTTAGGGACACACGCAGTTTGGTTTGGGTAACTTCCATTCAGCATAAATATAAATCTTCTTCAGGAGGTGTCAGATTGACCTTATGTGAACTTAGCCTTCTTTCTGGACCTCAGGCACTGCTCGATGCTAGGAATAGGGGGGGCTCTCTACTGTGTGAGGGCCCTTGGCTCATGGCTAGTCTAGGAAATGATTGGTATCAATGATATTGTTCTAACAGTCTCAGAGTACACATTTTCATGTGTTTCAATGTGCAAATTCTTTGATCCTAAATAGCTTGATGGGTTGAAGAAAAAGACAAATTGAGAAAAGCTACTGATACACACCTCAAATTATTTAGAAACCATAGATCAACAAGAGCAATGAGAGTAAAGAAGTCATTGATCTGTATAATTATCACCATAAGTAAAAATTACATACTTCTGTTTATATTTATTTAACAGAGACTTGAGCATATAACAACAAATTTAACCCTCTAATGGAAGAATTATATGGATTATCTCATTTCCCTGCAGAATGGTCCCCCAAGCTTGGTCCTGCTATCCCTATTTTACAGATGAGGAAATAGAGTCTCACAAATGTTAGATTTTAAATTCATCTTATAATTCAAAAGCCTACCTTTCCACACTCTAACAAGATGCTAAAATATCCATAGTTTATGTGGATATCATTTTCAAATTAAAGGACTGATTTTTACAAGTTTCTAAGGAAATGCACATTTTTGTCTATGAAGTCAAATAGGAAAATCACTTTACAAATGAAGAAAGATATACATATATGAACACCCATATAAATATACAAAATATATGTACATAATTATATTGCAACTCTTCTGCCCCCAATTTTTTTTTTTTTTTCGAGACAGATTTTTTTGTTGTTGTTGTCTGGGCTAGAGTGCCTTGGCATCAGCCTAGTTCATAGCACCTCAAACTCCTGGGCTCAAGCGATCCTCCTGCCTCAGCCTTCGGAGTAGCTGGGACTACAGGCATGCACCACTATGCCCAGGTAATCTTTTTCTATGTATTTTTAATTGGCCAATTAATTTTTTTCTATTTTTAGTAGAGACGGGTGTTGCTTCTTGCTCAGGCTGGTTTCAAACCTCTGACCTTGAGCAATCCTCCCGCCTCAGTCTTCCGAGAGAGCTAGTAGGATTACAGATGTGAGCCACTGGCCCAGTCTGCCCCCAGATATTTTGTTTGTATTCTTTGAAATTTAAAAAAAACTTCTAAAAGAATTTCTCCCCCAAACAAATCTCTGTGGCAATTGTTTTCTCTGTAATTGTTGTTTTTATATCTAATGAGAAAGAGTCTATAATTATATTGAAAAATTCTCCGTTCATAAGCCACCAATTGCCACCAATTGATGAGGCAACAGACTAAAGTTAGTGAGTGAATGTACCTTTTGCATAAACTCTTACTCATAACAACAGATGAAAATTTTTTTAAATAAAGAAGCTTGGGGCTTTTCAGTCTTGCTTCTCAAAGCTGCAGCATACCAATTTAGCCTACTTGCTCAGTGTAACTTGTGATAAAAATCTATTCATAATTATAGCAATTATATCTTATATTAATCAGATCACTGGATTATTTACTTTAAAATCCATATAAAGAGGAATTTTTAATAGTATATTTTACATCCTTTCTCTTAAAAATAATGAGGTGTTCCAGCCCAATTTTGGAACCCTGGGTCAAATTGTGCAGGAACCCTAGAAATTGGAATAGGAACAGTTCTTTGCACTAGACCGAGTGTTTCGGGAAGTATTAGCACTTTTTTAGAATAGCCC